TGTTAATGTTCAGATCATGAAGAATTACTCATGCCATTCTCTTTAATTATACAGCCAGCCAGAAACACAGTGTCACGTCCATTTTCCATGTGTTCTGTCCTTCCAGATGCTGCATTAGACAGTCATCAAATAATATCTCCAGACACCCAGTTTCTTTTGTCTCCAACTTATTTTTTTTTTAATTTGGCAGCCAATTTATCCACAGCATGTTATTGATGTCTCTTAATCTGAATTTGGTTAGTAATTTGAGTGCCAGACACAAAATGAAAAAAATGAATAGTAGTCATATTGGATGACATTAACTTGCAAGTCTGTGTTTTTTCTCTTATCGTTTAAATTAACAGAGGTACTGGCTATCTATCAATATTTATTATTAATTCAGGATATACACTACTAAAAGGGTTGTCTTATACTAGAGAACAAAATGGAACTTCATATGCACTTATTTATGAGATTGTTATGAACCTATTACTTGAAAGTTTGAACTTAACCTCAAATGCCCTATCAGAAAATCAGAATAACTAATCCTTTTTTATTGTAAAGGTATGCAACCAATTTTTAATTTAGGCATTTGTAAAGCTGGCGAAGATTTAAGGAACTTCTTTTACAAAATTATACTTATTCATTTAATTTAAAACATGTAAACCAAAATTTCAAAATTATTTACATTAAGTTAAAAGAAATAAGTCAGCAAAAAATCTGTTGACTAGAAACTGCCCCCAAATTATCTAATCCAAAATCAGAAGCTTCCATTCATTAATCCACATTCCTATTATGCAATGCTCTTATCTTTGGATATAATAAATATCATGGCTGTTTATTTGCTATAGTTTAATACAATGCCAGTTACAGATTCTATGTGAATAAAACAAACCATTATTCCCATCAACTATCAAGCACAGGATGCCAGGAGCCAAGATAGAGTTCAAAAGTACTGGGGAGTTTATTCCAGCAGACTCTGACTACTAATGGTCAAGGCAAATTGGTGGCAGATAAAAGTCAATGAACTTCAACGGAGGCTGAATTTAGGTCTCTTTTGGGAGTGTAGGGACTCCAAATGGTGCATTTGACCCTGTCCTGACTAGTCATCCTCTACATCAACTATCATGTTCTTTCTAGTCCAATCCTAAATCAACAAATCTATGATGGAATGTAGTAGGCTGTATTCCCAGAAGAGAGGGGGGTGCATTCCAGAGGAATAAGACAGAGATCAGTCCAGATATTTTGTGTGAGAAAAAGAGGGTGAAAACAGCCCCTCTGTAATAGTTTTCAGAGTATTTGCTTGATGAAGACAGTAGAATGCTTCAGTTTGGCAAGATTCTGTCTAGAAGTATGGAACAAGATTCTGTCTAGAAGTATGGAACTGCTTGGAACAATCATCAAGTCTTTCCTGGTTTTAAGGCCAGACAAAACCACTAAATTCAGACCAGAATATGTGCCAGAAATATGCCACAAACTAGCATGAATGGTGTTTTAATCAAGTTGGCTACATTTTATTGTACTTATTATACATGTTATTCTGGTTTTATAGTTCTCATTCCCAAACTAAGCTGTTTCTTGATGCAGTCTCCATGAAATGATGAGTGGAAAATTATGTGAAATAACCAACAAAATTCTTAAATTGAGCATGCTTTTAACAATACAACCATCTGTATGGCACTGAGCTTATTGGCTTCACAATTGATGACAGATTAGCTTCTCCTGTGAAGGTAGTTGATCCTGAAACATATTTAATGTACCATCTTTCGCTTGTTATCTTTGGTTCTTCTGTGCCTTCAATTCTCAGAAGATATCCTCATCTCTTGCTATTTGAAATGTGAAGGAAATGTTTTTATTATTCTGTCTTATCTAGGATGCAGCAGACATTGGAATATGAATAGATTGCTTACAATTAATTAATTGAAGTTGTTACTTATAAAGGAAAAATGTCTTCTTATAAACTGACCATCGATAAAAACTTTTTCCTGGCTAATTGAGATAACAGCCCGGTATTCCAATTTATCAGCATAAATGAGAATAAGTGATGCATATGACAGAATAAAGGAGACAACACTGAACCATGAAACAAAACTATCTGTATTTAAGGGATATTTTTGGTTTTCAATTTGTAAGTAGACTTTAAAATATTTGGTATGGGTGAAATTTTCCCCCAGCTAGATAATTTTTTGATTATATCTATAAACTCTGATCTTACCCACTGCCCTAGTATTTCCTGGGAAAAATCCCATCCTAGTATTAACTCAACTTGATACTGTTTAACTTCTTGATGCAGGGAAGGTTGGCCAAGGGCTGTACTTATTGATATATCAATTTAGTAAACTTATTCCATCATATTTAACTATATAGGTTTAATATGTTGGAACTTTAGCCTTATTTCAAAATCATTTTATGACTGAATAACACAAATCTTTATGTTATTATTAGGTCATATTATAGTGGAACTGTATTAAATATATTACTGATCAGACTAGAAGGGACAAGGGTACACTGATCTTATGCAATATTAAGAGACAGAATTTGGTTGAAACCATTATGCAATGCTGGTGACTATTTTAATATTTTCTGTAGTCTGGTAGGAAATGAGAGATCGCTCAGGGATCTAGGAAAATGGCCCCAAGTACACCAATGGGAGAAAGAATGAATTTCCCCCTTTGCATTAGGAAATTTGCACATAATGAAATAATCTCCTTCAGACCCACAGTGATGTCAGACATACTGTAAAATCCTTTTGTTTCTGGTGCAAAAGTATCTCTAAAGTTATTGACTTCTTTTTCATCTCCAGTAGTGAACACATGATCTGAATGAAACCATCTTTTGTTCTATAAGCCTATGGATTCTACATCAGTTAGAAAGTAGCTCTAGACAGCCACAGTCCTATGCTTACTGCTAAATTTAAAACAGTTTCTTATTTTCAGCTTGGCTGCAATAATATTTGTATTAAAAAACTGTGGCTCTCTAGAGTTCATATGTCATGAATTCATGGAAGCACTACACAATTTTGTTTAATTGATTTTATGCCTAAAATAAATGTATAATAATTAAATCTGCATTGTAGGTTCTTTTGGACGGGATAGCGGGCCTCAGAATTAAATATGATGCAATGCTAGTTTTGTTTCAGTACTGAAGTTTTCAGTAAGATTAATATAGATTCACCAATATTGTTATCCTTTCTCTTGATATTTAACAATCTCGTACATCCTAAATGGTTTGCTTTTTGGTTTTTGATTTTGTTTTGTTAGAAAAAAAAGGCCCTGTGCTTCTTGGTTATTGGGCAACTTCTAAATAGTAGCTTTTGATTACTTCCTGATATATAGTATTTATTTATCACTTTAACATGATTTTGTGTTTGGAAAGATACCCCATATTATTCTTGTTGGTTCTTTACCTAGGAAAGGCTCACACTATGTGTTCATTGGTTGTTCAGATTGTTCAGAGAAAATCATTACCTTTAGGACTCCCTTGCCACCTTGTGGTTTATGATTGCAATTTCTAGAATATTCTGAAACAACCCTCTTATATTTTTGTCACATATATTACCTATTTCATAGCCTAGTGTCTGCCACAATGTATTCGTGGATGGTCTTGCTTTGTATTGTTTCTTTTTTGTCCAGAATCTTTGTCAGCATCTTTCCAGAAGGTTTTGATCTTCAAAACTGTTTCTTTCTAATGTCTCTTGGTTCTTGTTTATCATTCTTGTCTTTGTGAACTCTCAAGAGTTCCTCAGAATTGCTCTGGTCTTGCATCACACTGTTTCAAACTATTCATTTGCCAATATAATATCCTGAATTGGTCATTCACAGTATACAGAGTTTTAAATTCCCAGCAAGTTATTCCTTTTGCAGAAACTAAACCCTGTCTTTGGAGTTGTCTTTGGGCTTCAAGATTTTCAAGAAGAAGATTACTTGATGTCTGTTTACTTCTCCCTATATAGGAACTTCTGAGACTTTTTTGTATACAACCAGACAAAGCACACACAACATGAAAAATACTTTCTCTGTGTGTGTGCCTGTCTCTCTCTCTCTCTCTCTCTCTCTCTCTCTCTCTCTCTCTCCCTCTCTCTCTCTGTGTGTTTTGTGTGTGTGAAAATTATTTTATTTCCCTTTTACAGTGCAGTATCTGTGGCAGCTCACAGATAAGCAATCATTCTTGTTCCTTGTTCTCAGTGTTTGAGATCTGAAAATGGTGGTGGTTATATTCAAACTGTTTTTTGAAGAATTAGTATTGAAAATATCCCAAAACAACCCTGAAAGTCAGTTGAGAATATTTCTGATGAATGCCTTTGGTCTTCATACCTGAATAAAAAGCCTGTAATTACCGTGTTACCTATTTTCACTTAGAAAAACTGTTGATTTATATTCATTTTCTTTGGATCATTTTAAAAATATGAATGTGAATAGCAAAGAGGATGGAATTTTCCTAGCAAATACTTTTTAATAATAGCTTTCAAACTGTGAAAGACAGCAAGTTTTAAAAAATGACACAATGACACCATCCGGTGGTATCTCTTGGTACTACAGATCTCACACACAATTGTGGTATTGTTTTGAATACACGGAAATGGCAGAATAGAAAGCAAGATTTGCAACATAAAAACCTTGGATATGAGGTTAAATAGAATGTCCACAAGGAAAAAAATAAAGTAAGAAGTGCATCTTTTATAGACACTTTTCCATTTTACTGTGGATATATAATTATAAAATAGTTGGCAGTTTGGGAACAAAATTCACCAAGATCAATGTCAATATCATATCTGGGTTATAAAAATCGAAATGATAACTAGGCTGAATCAAAGAATTTTATAACCTAGATGTGATGGCCCCAGTATCAAATCAGTGTTAATCATTTGCTTTTTAGCATGATACAAAAATTACAATGACCTAGAATCATATTTAGGTCAGTGTCTAAGCTTTTCCACAGAAGCCAGCAAACATCTTACAGTAATATTTCTTCTTTCATGCAAACTTCCTGTCAACTTCCTTGTCTTTTAATATTTTGTTTAGATTGTGGAGAACGCAAAGGGCAGAAACCTTGCCAGCCTTATCATCTGCTTTCTGAAACAAGGAACCAGGCCTAATTGTATAACTCCATAGTCAAAAGAAGAAAGATCTGACTTTCTGAAATATCATTTTAAGACAGGCCCATTTCTACAAGTGAGAAAATAATGGGTCACGGGCAGCTTTGTAATCATGACATGTCGTGACATATCGTGACTTTTTTTGCATTGCTGGAGCTGGGTGGGTGCAGCCTGCGTATGATGCAACTGCCAGCGGGCCAGCAGTTTGACACTCTTGCTCTATGGGGATGTTTTTTTTAAAAAAGGTAAAGAAAACAAAATCCCAACCTTATATCTGATTCCTTAGAAATAAATCTCACTGAGTTCAGTGGAATATATAGCCCTGTATGTGTCCATAAAACTGCTGTGTTTTAAAACAGGGGTCCCCAACTCTGACTTGGGGTCTTGAGCCTTTCAGAACCCAGCTGCAGAAGGGGTGGGTGAGCTTGCCCACGCGTGCATCCCCACTTGTGCTAGTGGTAGGCAAGCACATGTAAATGGAGCTGCACAGATGGGCGTGCTTGCCTGCTACTCACACAGAACTAGTCCCTCTGCCTCCGCCTGGTTGGCAAAGACAAAAAGGTTAGGGAACTCAGTTTTAAGATATACGGGTAATCCTTGATTTACAAGTTTGTTTAGTGACCATTCAACGCCATTGAAAAAAGTGACCATTTTTCACACTTATGACCTTTGAAGCATCCCCATAGTCACATGATCAAAATTCCCATGCTTGGCAATTGGCTCATATTTACAACAGTTGCAGTGTCCTGGGGTCCTGGGGTCACCTTTTGTGAACAAAGTCAATGGGGAAACCAGCTTCCCTTAATAACCATGTTACTAATTTAACAACGGCAGTGATTCACTTAACTGTGGCAAGAAAAATAGTAAAATGGGGCAAAACTCACTTAACAAATTTCTCACTTAGCAATTGTGGTCGTAAGTTGAGGATCACCTGTACAACCGACAGCCTCAAGTAGGAAGATGTTATGACCAGTCAGCCATCCTTTTGTGGACATTTTGCATTTATAACATGATTGTGCCTTCAATAGCCAATTTCCATGTATAACTTACCACTTTCATTTAAGTACTGGAAAATATAATTGACTAATGGCAGCAATTTTATTAAATTAATATGGTAGAACAAAATCTTGAGACTATAGCAATAAAGGATACTGCCACATGAAATAAAATAAAGTCTTCATTGTTTCATTTTATATAGAAGCTCATTACGGTTGATCAGGAAAAGATATTTCACCTTAGGAATGACAATCATTCATTTTAAATATCTAGACCAAATTTGAAAGGCTCAGTTACAGCCAGATTTCATCATGTTTCAAAAGCAATGTTGAAGATTTAAATCCATATTGCAGCTAATGATGGTATAAATCAATCCTTAGAACTTACGGGACCAGTAGGATTGGTTCACCATATTCTTCCCATGTATACATTTCTTGTAACAGCTTTTCCCAGCATCAGTTACCAAAATTCTCACAGTGGCCTTGCTGGCTGGGGAATTCTGAGAGCTGAAGTCCATACTTTTAGAGGGTAGTGAAATGCTGCACATTGTCAAAATCAAATATTTTATTACAGACATAAGGCCAGATATAGTAAAACATTCAAAAGTAGAACTTTTACATACAGCTGTATACAGTATGTGTAAGAAAACAGAAAGTATAGTCAGATTTAAAACAAATAACAACATGTATAATAAAATTCCTATATTACAGTACAAATTGAATATTTTCTATTCAATAGATTAGATCAGGAATGGCTTTGTATGTATGGTCATACTTCTTCACAGCTAACACATGTGACAGCAGGAAATGCATTTACAGTTCAGTGCTTAACATTTCAAGGATTTTTGTATTGTAATCCATAAATCTAAAACTTGCTTCTAAAGGTTTTTCCATTTTTCATCTGGATCAACAATAATGGATTCAATCAGTTTACACTGGCCAGTGCCAACAAGATGTTTAAAGAAATCAACCAGAGTTAAAGTTATAATAATACCCAAAGGCAGGGGTAGGCAACCTTGGCTCTTTTATGACTCATGGACTTCAACTCCCAGAATTCCTGAGCCAGCATAGATGGCTCAGGAATTCTGGGAGTTGAAGTCCATGAGTCATAAAAGAGCCAAGATTGCCTACCCCTGCCCAAAGGGGTCAATTTATGTAGTTAACTAACTCTAGGGCAGAGGTGTCAAACTGCCGGCCCATGGGCCGATTTTATCATACTGGAGTCGTGCCCACCCCATTGCCGGCAATGGCAAAATAGTCCCGATACGTCTTGCGACGTCAGGTGACGTCACAAGTTTGACATGTCTTCTCTAGGGTATTAGATTTACCCCACCCACACCCCAACAGATGCAATTATGTATAAAGTTAATCTAACTACTTACTCAGCTGTGTGATGTGAAAGCCATAGCTCAGTCAATTGCCTGTTTTGCCCATTTTGTCCTCCCCACTCCACCCCCCAAAAATGAGCTGGAGAGAAAAAAGAACAAAAAATCCTCTCTAATCCAAGAGCTCACTGTGAAAACCTGGCAAGATATAACATACTTGCTACTGATTAAACCACACAGCCTCTTGCAAGCCTGATCAAGGGAAGAAGGCGGTTGAGTTAGTAAGACTACATCTGTCCTCACCTGACTCAAAGGCTCACAGGAGGCCAGATACTTCCTCCAGAAAATGGGCAAGAATTCGTATTTCCCAGATTATTATATTTGACCTAGTTAATGTGATTGTGTGCTGCCAAGACCAGGGAGAGTTTCGCTCTTCAAAAGGAAATCACCTCAGGGTAGAATGAAAAAAAAAATATGACAAGACAAATACGAAAAGAAAATAATTCTATGGGCATCCCTCCCTCCCTTTTAATGATCTTAAGGATAGAATCTGCTTTACATCTGTCTAGTTTTGAGGTTGCAGTGAGAGTTTACTCAGATGTCTGGTTGAACTTGTTGGGCAAGAAGTAAAATATGAAATACTGTAATGAAAATAAAATTGGGCAGCTTTAGATCTGAGCTTCTTTCATAGTCCAACAAACTTAAAGAAGAGAGGAATCTTTCCTTCTCTTCTTTCTATGAAGGATTCAATTTCTCCACCTCTGCTTATCCTCTCCAAACTCAATCTTATCAAACCAAGGAGATATATATTGTAGGAGGACAGCACACCCCTATAAAGAAATATTTTGGGATATTAAAAAGGCAGAATATGATATTTCCCCAAAGGATTTTAAAGGCAGAAAAGTAGGCCCAGTTTTTCTTAATAGCTCCAGACAGAGGCCAGGTCTGTAGAAATGCAGTTTGATAATCCCATTCAGAAGGACCCAGGCCCCATTCATGAGCAAATACTACCAGGCAAAAGCCCATTCAAGACAAAATATTTTGAAATCACTTGCAGCAAAACTAATAGCTAACAATACCAGAGTGATAGAATTAGAACCAGCAACCCCTCACCCAAGAAATCCAACACAGGAAGTATGTCATCAACCACAGCCCCAAAGAAGCAGGGCATGACCTTTAGGACCTAACCCACCACCATCAAAATAACAAAAGGACATGCTCAAAAGCTCAGATCAAAGTTCATGTCACATGAATAGGAAGAACAATTTCAAACACAAAAGCCCAAGAAGGTATAAAAACCCACCACTCCCAGCAACATATGCTCAGCTTTCCCAGAGCCACACTTCTGTCTGGCTCTGCTCTTCAATAAACTACAACCTTCTTTCTAAAGCAGTCTCCATTTTGTTTATTCCCAGCTTGGACTGGACCCTGATGAAGATTTTTCTTTCCACGATATTATGGGAACTTGTCTTTTAATGGAGCTATTTTGCTGCCTGAAGCACATGATTGACAGAGCACATGGATTGACAGAGGATTAATCAGGGCAGCCATAGGGACAGGGCCAGAGGACAAAAGTATCCAGATGATGGCTACAATTACCCAATTAAAGGCCTGCTCCTCTTTTTTAATTTTTATTTTTAATTTTGACTCATCCCTGTCTTTTCTCCTGTCAGCAATTCCATGAAAAGAACAAACTTAGCATCTACAATTCTCAGCTCTTCTGCAGATACAGCATTGTGCTTCCTGGAAATATCAGAGGCTCCTTTTGAACAGGAACACCTGCTAGGAGTTTCTCTACCATAATGATCAAATTTGGAAACGCCATGCAAGGGTAGCTAATGGGTTTCCTCCCAGATATTTTTCACTAGTCTGTTATTTTCAGATCTTCCTCACAACTCCAATCTTACCATGTCTTTTTCTTCACTTGTTTGATGTGATGAGCTTTGGTCAAAGTGTTATAATTTATTCCAACCTTTCACTAGGAGATAATCCTAACCTTTCTATTGGAAAACAATATGCTCTTCCTGCAATTTCTATTTCCCTATCTATAGCGCTAAATGTTCAGGTTTTCCTTTTCTCAAACATGATTACCAAGTATGCTCAAATCCCATTAGGTTTACCTATCACCCAGTCCTCATTTATCTGTACTTCTGTAAATCTTTCACATATTTACAACCCTCTTTTTCCCTAGTAGCTGTAATTTTGCACATGAAAGGTAACAACAGGCTTCCTGCTTTGTTTTGTGAATATTTGATTTAGAGAGATGCTCTGACTTTTTTTTCATAATCAGCCAGGAAGATAGGATAGAATCTTTTTAAAAGTCAGTTTATTAGTAATGATGGCAAGCAATTCTTTTCATGTGCCAGAGAGCTCCGAAAAATATTTTTCCTGATTCATTTACATTCTTGAAGCAGGTTGCACTCTGCTAGTTTACACCTTATTATATTTCTCGTGGGACTCCTTAACAGCAGTCAAATGACTGTTGATTGCAGATTGTTAACAACTGCAATGATACGAAGTATTTATAAGTAACACAATAACCTTTGAAGTATTTAGCAGTGCTATATGTACAAGACAATGGATAGATAATGGCTAAAATGATGGTGATATGTACAAGAAAGGGGAAAAATGCAATGAAGTTGCTTGAGCTGTGCTTTTCTCTTTCTCTTTTGTGTTAGCATTAAGAAAAAAGAACGTTTGTTATCCTAAAGACATAATTTATGAATTCTAACCATTAAACTGTGAATCTGGCATATAATGGTACATGGGAATGAATTTCTGGCACAAGGGGAAGAGATGCTTCCTAGGAATGATCAGAAAAAGTGAGAGGAACCTATAACTGCTTAATGAGCACAAAAAGAAACTTCAAAATGATTCATCCTTACTGTTAAAAGTGATGGTTGGAGATCTGTATTTTCAGATTTACAAAATTCTATTAATATGATCTTACAATAAAGCAGAATTAGCTTGTGTGGTTGTGTTTCCTGTTACTATTTATTTGGACTTTGAACTGGCTTTTAATACATTTATTCACCCAAAGTAAACTGAGACCATTTTTATCACTTTGCATTTTCATTTCTCAAACTCAGATCTAGTCTCTCAACAATTAGTAATTGCCCTGCCTGCAGGTCTCTCTCCAGCTGGCTTTCTCTAGTAACACCTCACCTGTGTCCCATTGCTTTCCTTATCTCACTTGTTTATCACTCTTGCTGACTGACTAGATCTGCAAAGTAGAGGAAAGGAAGTGAGGTGTTCAAGATCTCAACTGCAGGAAGGGAACCTGGAGGTAGAGAATTCCCATCAGTGTGTAAGTAACTCAGCCACCCCGGCTTCAAACCTAAAAGTGCTGTACTATTTCAAATTATTAAACAGAAATTTTATAGATTAGGATTT